GAAATGGAGCCAAACAGCTTGACATGCTATTGGGAAGGAAGAAAAATGACTTACACTTTCATGCCTGTTATAATCTTTCCGTTCAAGTTGGACGCATACAAAAGAATGAGAAAATGAGCAATCTGGATTGTTTTGTCATTGACCGTGATGATTATTGTTGGCTGTCTCTACATGTTTCCAAGCAATGAGACTGATCTATGATTCACATACTAAAACTGTTTTCAATTACTGAATTGAAGAGAGTTAACAGCTTAGTGAATGAGAGAATGCACATGTTCAGGAAAGTTCATTTCAGCCGAAACAGAGCAATAAATCACACTGTTCACAGTGAAATTTTAATTAGCTTTTTTTTTTGTTTCAGATGACAATACATTTTTTTAGGGGGAAAAAAGACACCTGGCTCAGCAAATGTAATACTCAGAGCCAAAGGCAATATATATAAGTACATTTTTACATTTTTTTCATTAATCTGCACACTCATGACCTAAACGAAACACAGAAGCAGATGAGGCCTGTCTGAACAAAGCCAAGAGTTTCTATGACACTCTGGGAGATTTTTTGCCTTCAGTGTGTTACTAGGGTGTAATAAATTTTCCACACTGAGACTTTCTCATTCATATATCCGCTTCACATATGCCAAATCAATTTTGAGCTTACTATTCTGTCCACAGAAAGGCATATCCATAGAGGCATTAAAGTGAGGCCATGACGAGACTGACAGCCTAATCCTAGGACCGCTCCGATATAAGATCAAGTCATATGCTTGTGCATTAGGGTTAATTGCAAGGTTCCAGATATTCTGTTTTGTGCTGGTATGGTTACCAAGCGAACTGGAATCTGGTTTGTCCTTAAGCAGAAGCTCAAGGATGAGGAGCTGTTGAGGGAAGTAAGGTTTTTTAAAAGTGAAACATTCCAGTACAAATAATGAGATCTCTTATGCACAATTTACTCCAAGCATTCCAATGCTGTTTAAAGAAATCAATCTTTAGTTAGAGATTGTTTGGATTATTGTGAAATGGGATATTGAGCCAAGGAACTGTCACCTCAAAAATATTTACCTTTCATTTCTGCAGTGCAGTCAGACTCTTCAATCCCTTGAGAGAAGAGGTGACAAAAAATATGTGATAACATATGCATTTAATAAATAAATAAAATATGCTTGGCTACCTGAAATGTCATGACGGAAAGTGCCGACACACTTAAGGAGATTAAAGGATTAGTTCACTTTTGAAAAAACTTTTGCTGATAATTTACTCACCCCCATGTAATCCAAGATGTCCATGTCTTTCTTTCCTCAGTCGAAAAGAAATTAAGGTTTTTGATGAAAACATTCCAGGATTTTTCTCCATATAATGGACTTCAATGGGAATCGGATGGTTCAAGGTCCAAAAGACAGTTAATAACAGTTTCAGATGCAGCTTCAAATGTCTTTAAACGATATCAGACGATGAATAAGGGTCTTATCATGCGAAACGATCGGTTATTTCAAAACTTATTCCAAAAATGTAACTTTTCTAAGGACAAATGCTAGCCTTGCTCTATTCTGTGAGGCGCGTTTGCAACGTCACGTATTACGTAATTACGTTCAAAAGGTCACGGGCGACGTAGCCGAAAGTACAGAGTAAGTGTTTACAAGTTGAACGCATAGGTTGAACGTGCAAACTAACTCAAACACCGTTTACAAAAAAGGAATTAAAAGGAAAAACAACGATGTCGGACGATTTTGATTCTGTACTTCCGGCTACGTCGCCCGTGACCTTTTGAACGTAATTACGTATTACGTGACGTTACAAACGCGCCTCAGAGAATATAGCAAGGCTAGCATTTGTCCTTAGAAAAGTTACATTTTTGGAATAAGTTTTGAAATAACCGATCGTTTTGCATGATAAGACCCTTATTCATCGTCTGGTGTCGTTTAAAGACATTTGAAGCTGCATCTGAAACTGTTATTAACACTATCTTTTGGACCTTGAACCATCCGGTTCCCATTGAAGTCCATTATATGGAGAAAAATCCTGGAATGTTTTCATCAAAAACCTAAATTTCTTTTCGACTGAGGAAAGAAAGACATGGACATCTTGGATGACATGGGGGTGAGTAAATTATCAGCAAAAGTTTTTTCAAAAGTGAACTAATCCTTTAATTCAACAAATAAACAATTTTTTGTTTAATTAATCTTTGTTTAATTTTTATTTAATTAATCAATCTCTTAATTAAACTATAGACCATTTCACAAGATGTAAACAACACTGGTCTAGAAGCACTTCCTGTTTCAGTTTTTTAACACTACATAAAAGCTGGGATAAAATACAACCAACAGAACATTTAAAACTGAATCAAAAAGTTAAAACAAACATCTTTAAGATGTTTTCTTTACATGTGAAATAAAGAAAACAGTTACAAACTGAAACAGGAAGTGCTTCTGGGCCAGTGCTGTTTACATCTTGTGAAATGGTCTGAGTTTCAACGTCATCCGATTGCTGTTCTTTTCCACACAACTCTCATTTTCAGTCACGTCATGCATCAAGCGTTGATTTGCCAACGAAAGAAAGAAAAGATTGTTTTTAAGATAAAATCTTGGCAATTAATTTCATTCAATTAATTGGTCTGTAATAACCAGCCATGAGCCATGCCTTCCATGTTCACAAAAATATCTGGTCTGTTTTTGCTCCACCAATGAAAATAATAAGTCACTGCGTGATAAACCGCTATATTTGTTTTCCGAGCAACACTTGGTGTTTTGTTTTTAAAAGGATCTGTATTCAAATTTTTTTCAAATGAATGATTCAGTGACTCATCGTATTTTTGTATGCGACTTCTTAAGAATGAATGGGTTATATACTGTAATATTTAATGTTACCCAGGATTCTGTTTTAGCTTGTGAAGCATGTTCTGGTAAAGTGACCTAAGTGGATTCTGAATGCACCTTTAAAAAAAGAAGACAATGATGCAATCTGTCTGAATTAATCATCGTTCTTTTTTGCACCTGAAAACTTTGCTTTCCCAATAAAATGTGTCTGATACTGTGTAGGCCTACTCAAAGCAAATTCTTCAGGGATCAATCATAACCACTTTAAAGTATATGCTTTGCTAAGAGCAGTCTGGCACCAATATAATCATCTGAACTGTTTTTGAGCATGACGAGACGAAATTCCAGCCGCATGTCTGTCGGGTTTAAACAGACAAAATAGCGATGCATGCAGGAAAAGCAATGTGAATCAGGACCTGAAAGTGATTCAGACTGTTAGACACATGCTTGATCATAACAGATGTGTTGGAACAGATGTTGTTACTGTGACTGTGGAGAAGTCCTCATTATTTATTTTAAGCAGATTTATTCATGGCCCCACTTAAAGCTGTAATTAATTTCTGTGATTACCTTTAATACAAAGCACACTTCTTTTTCACATGGGATTTTGATACTTAATTTTCCTGATAATACAAGAATACACTTTAGCACACAAAGATTTTTTTTGTCAGATTTTTGTCTGAGATAATATCCTACTTTGCATCTGAAGGCGACATCAACATGGTCAGTTTTGAGGACAAGAGAATACCATACCAATTTGATCAGGGAAACTGTAAACAGAGACACATGGAAGTGTTTGGGATGGAGTGATAACGCATGCCATTAAATCTAAAGGGAAAGATTTCTATCATCATTCCTGTCCAAAAGTGCTGTGTGGTTATTTTTTTCATGGCTTCAGGATACTTTTCAAATATTCATAATGCATGCTGATGGATATCAACATCCCAGGCAAAGCAAACAGTGTATACACGCACACACGCACGCACACACCAAATTCAATACAATGCAATTTTATTTGTGCACGTTTAAAAACAACTGGTGTTGACCAAAGTACTAAGGAAATAAACAATAAGATATGAAACAGAAAAGAGAAAAGCAAAGTAATGAACAATACAAATAAAAAACCTATGAACTAAAAACAAAATAAAAAAAAAACAAATCAAAATATGTTGAAAGCAATTTAGAAAAGACACACACACACTGCTAAGCCACAGTGGAATTTCATTTTGTAGAACAGAGCCACAGGCCTATTGAATCAGCTTAAAAGAAATTACGGTTTTTGATGAAAACTTTCCAGGATTTTTCTCCATATAATGGACTTCAATGGGAACCAAACGGTTCAAGGTCCAAAAGACAGTTTCAGTGCAAACTGCAAACTATTCAAAGGGCTTTAAGCGATTTCAGAAGATTAATAAGGGTCTTATCAAGCGAAAAGATTTGTTCATTTTGATAAACGAGTTCGAACAGGAGAGTCACTAACGCGCACAGAACAGAGCAAGGCGACCATTTGAGCTTAAAGAACTTAAACTTTTTTTTTTTTTAAATTAGCGATCGTTTCGCTTGATAAGACCCTTATTCATCGTCTTGAATCGCGTAAAGCCCTTTGAACAGTTTGCAGTTTGCACTGAAACTGTCTTTTGGTCCTTGAACCGTTTGGTTCCCATTGAAGTCCATTATATAGAGAAAAATCCTGGAAAGTTTTCATCAAAAACCTTAATTTCTTTTCGAATGAAGAAAGAATGACATGGACATCTTAGATGACACGGGGGTGAGTAAATTATCAGCAAAAGTTTTTTTTAAAAGTTAACTACTCCTTTAAGAGCAAATCTTGGTAAAGTTAAGGAAAACACTATGATTCTTTTCCTTCTATATTCTTAAATATAACAGTTGCATTCAAAACTATAAGGATTTCACAGCCTGATAACAGCCAAACAAAATCACCTATAGATAGATAGATAGATAGATAGATAGATAGATAGATAGATAGATAGATAGATAGATAGATAGATAGATAGATAGATAGATAGATAGATAGATAGATAGATAGATAGATAGATAGATACTATTTTAGTAGGCTAAATGCCCTTACACATCTAAGCGTTTGGGCTGTAAGTCAGTTAACAGCGTACGTTACGTCACCCACACCACACACGCTGAATAAGTGAGAAGCAGTGAAAGCTGTCAGATGCTCCTCCTATTTTTTTCTCACGGCTACTTTTTCAAACTCAGTAGGGAAGTCTTATAAGAAGTCTTTCTCTAAGTCTTACTCTTAGGCTACTAATCCACCTTCACAACAACGAGCGTGAGGAATGAAGATAGGCAAACGCTTTTATTACTGCTTTGTTTGGTTTCAGGCGTAACGAACTAGTCTGAAATTAGTTTGCGCGCTAAATTCAGTGGTTGGCCAGAACTGGATAGACTAACTAAACTACAGTTTATTATGAATTAAAAGAGAACAAACGACTGAAGAAACGGAAGCTCGAAGATATACCGCATCGACGTCGCTTTGAAATATTATGTTTGGAGAGTCAGAAATACATTTATGTTGTTCAGAGAGTGATGTGGTTGGGAGGAATGGCCGCGCGCAGCAGTGATGGACACTCCGCGGACAGGTGCGTACTGACTGATGATTTAAAATGCTTTTTTTTGCCATGATTACTTCGTTGTTGTGAAATTATTGGGGTGAGAAACAGTTGTTCAGCAAAGGAACCGTGTTACTTAAAACATGACTAACGCTTTTTGAAATCAAATTAAAATCATACAAATGCACTCATTTGAGTCTGTAAGACATACGCTTGTGCATTGGGCTTCAAAAGTCTGAAATCACTTGTGAAAAAGCAGAGCGGTTGGACCTGGAGTGACAAGTTGCATTGAAAAATTTACATGATTTCAGAATCTGTTTTGTCCCTCTTTCTTCAACTTGACATGTTTGCACAAAACCTGATTGTCATGTTCTCCAGCATGATCTGAATGAGAATGATCCAAACAGCATCTAATGCTACAGTTGAAACAAATGCCGTCTTTGAGAATATCACAGATTTAACGGTACTCATTTTTATTAATAACATAGAAATAGTACTAAATCAATATCATTTGTTAACCTCCAGAAAAAAAAAATCTTTAAAATCAATTTTATTTGCATCTCTATTTGTATCTCAGCCTATTTCATTGGGTTTTTAAGACCTATGGGTGACGTATTAACATAAGACGTATATATTCTGAAGAACTACTTTCTATTTTTTAACAAATCCTCTAAGTGAAGGATCTGCACTGTGATGTTTATCTCTCCATAATTTACATAATAATCACTGCATACAATAGGCCTTCTAAAATTGTGCAGTTGCTACCGTGAGGATCTAGTTATACCTGAGATGTTTGTTAAAATAATGAGGTTTATTCAGTCATATGAAATATTTGAATATGCAAATTTGTGTCTAATAGCGCTCTCTAAAATGTGAAAACCACTCTGTGTAAATCCACTTACCACTAACAATTGCAAACTGTTAACTATGATTCATGGTTGTGTGATATAAAAGCCTACTGGCTATTTAAAAGCAACAAACCATACAGTATCCTGCCACAATGTCCTGTTCCAACAAGAAGTTGAAAAACAGTGCTCATCAGCCTATTTCATGGGGCTGTTAAGAACTATGGGTGGGGTCTAACATATTGACGTATTGATTCTGAAGCACTACTTTCTATTTTTCTATTTTTAACAGATCCTCCAAGAGAAGGAACTGCAAGTCTTTCACGATAGACGAAATTGCCATTGCCCGATCCCTGTGTCTGGGCTCTGGGTTAAAGGGCAGGTCCGTCTGAACATGATTTCAAACAAGTCATGCGAGAACATCACCAGAATCGATGTGAATGGGAACCCGGTGATGAGCACTGTGATGTTTATCGCCGGGGTGGTTGGCAACCTCATGGCTCTAGCTATCCTGGGTTTCCACCAGAAAGAGCGTCGAACCAAGTCCTCGGTTTTCTGCATTCTCGTGACAGGCCTGGCTCTGACAGATCTGCTGGGAACCTGTTTACTCAGTCCACCGGTTTTCGTTTGCTATTCCCAGAGCAGATCTCTGGTGGGTCTGACTGGAGATCGGTGGCTGTGCGGACTCTTCGCCTTCGCCATGACGTTCTTCGGCCTGGCCTCTATGCTCATACTCTGTGCTATGGCAGTGGAGCGGTGTCTCGCCATCAGTCACCCGTATTTCTACTCCAAACACGTACGCCGCAGCTTCGCTAAGATCGTCCTCTTCCTCATCTATCTCTTTACCTTAATTTTCTGCTTGCTGCCTTTCTTTGGATACGGGCGGCACAAGCAGTATTGCCCGGGCACGTGGTGTTTCATCAAGATGGAGGCAGAAGGAGAGAGTGAGGATGAGAAGAGGAGAACGCTGGCCTTCTCGCTGTCCTACGCCGTGCTCATGGCGCTGCTCATCGCCATAGTGTTCTTGTGCAACGGTTCGGTCATCGTCAGCCTCTGCCGCATGCACCGGAGCCAGCTGACACGTCGGGGTTCGGTGGTGTCGGCTGGGCGCAAGAAGAGGCTGAGCACCTGGTTTGGACAGGGAGAGGAGGAAATGGACCATTTACTGCTGCTGGCCTGCATGACCTTCATCTTCGTCATTTGCTCCTTGCCACTAACTGTGAGTAGCGTACATTTTCTATTGTTTCACGTCACTCCGAAGTGTTCTTGTTTACTTAAGGCGAGGCAAAAACATTCAATTTTGAGATTTTGGGCTATTTGTATTCAATAGCATGTCGTCTTTCAGACTTGTGCTGAAAAAAAGTCCAAAATACAGATTTAGGTCTTTATTTTACTACACTTTGTCGGTTTGTGTGTGTATATTTTGCCTAAATTTCCTCAAAAGTTGGCATTCATCCCGCTGCTCCGTGATCATGATCCGCACCGTCATCACACACACCGCTAGAAAACTCTCTCCCCTCTTCAATGCTGTCGGATCCAAATATGGTCATTTCCTGTTTATCAGCAACCAATCATTAAAAGTAAAATGGGCCATTTAAATCTTTAACGGCAGTTTTCTCAAAATGAGTTTTTTCTCACACTTCTAGTGACGATCTTCCACTTCTGTAGCACCAACATACACCAAACTTTACAGCCGTATTCCTAACTATATTGTGAGGTTTGTTCTCAAGGAATTGTTGATATATCATTCTTGGCCTGATTTATATGACATTTTATGCCTAAAAATAGGGCGGAAATCAATTTTTTAAAGGCTATTGGCAGTATTTTCTGATTTACAGGGTAACAAATGGAGATATTCATAATCCCCTCTGAAAATGTCTTTTCATTGCACATATCAACAGAATGCAAACATAATTTTGAACCTTGTTTTTTTCAATGGTCAGATTCGTCACTTTAAAATATATGCAAATTAGGGCATATTTAATTAGATATAGTCTGATTAGCATATTTAAACAGATAATTACAGAAAACTTGCAATACATTTTTAACTCCTATTTATGCGAGTAATCAACTGGTAAAGTTTCATGGTGACATCTGTAAGTTAAAATTTTTATCCTATTCACCTGCAATGTCTCGCCTTAAGATGAGGTTGTTGATGAGATTTTACAACAGTTAGTTCTGGTCCCGTGGTCAAGTACCAAGTGGTTCCAAGAGCCTTGATCTTTTGTATAACTATCCAGACAAGAGTTTGTGAGCGGTCAGTGTTTTAGGAAACCTCTGTGTCCTGTGAGGCTTTACTGCTCTCATATAGGTATGCCAGAACAGTAGTTGGTGGTATTGTGCCATAAAGCTTTTTTTGTCAAAAACTGCAGAAGAACATTTTGGCCTGATGTCAAACAACGATGGTGATACAAAACATGAGAGAAACTGAGCGTTTAAAAACTTTGAATCAGGGATATCAACTTCGCTCCTGGGGGTCCACAGGGAGCTCCATCCCTAATCAAACACACCTGAAATTTCTAACCTAAAGTCTTCAGGATTGCTTGAAAATTACAGGCAGGTGTGTTTGATTAGGGGTAGAACTAAGGCCCCGTTTACACAAAAACGCTCACGGGTGAAAACGTAAAAATATTTTATCAGATGTGCCTTCCGTTTACACGGTGATGGCGTTTTGGGAGCTTAAAAACGCAAAAAAGTGAAACCACCCTCCAGAGTGGATAAAACGCTGCACCGTCGCGTTCCCGCCTAAAGGGTAAAAACGCAAAAGTCTGCTATGTTCCACATCGCCACCTAGCCACCTGGAGTGCACACTACATCGAATTTCACACACTTTTGCGCCCTTTTTCATGCACGTGGATTTCCTAGCCATAACGTTCGTCTAAAAACGCAGAATAAAAAGTGATAACGCAACGCCACTTTTGTGTTTTCTTTAGATCGTTTCCGTGCAAACATAGCCTAAATTCTCCAGGATGTGGCCCTCAAAAATCAATTTTTGAACCAGTCCAAAGCTGAAATCATGTGACTTGGTGATTTTGAAACAAACTCCAAATCACTGATTAAAAACAAGATTTGTAAATGTCTCAAAGCTTCATGAAGCATGAGCGCCCTTCACTACAAAACAGAGGTGCATACTCATTTATGTTGACAGATTGCAAGGAATAGTTGAACCCATTTGATGTAGAAAAAACATTTCTGTCTGTAAAAATCCAATGCATACCCCCGATATCTATAAACAACTGTTACCATGCACAGACCTTGTTCATGATGTAACCCTATTCTAATACATACCACGGAAAATGTAATGCATTTTCAAATACAATTGTTTTTGTTTTATTTTCAAAAAACATTTTCAGTGACCTTTCAGTGAGTCATTTTGCTGTTGGCGTTGCTATCCTGCCGCTGTGTTTAACTTGACCAGACGGGGGATCGCATTGGTTGTCAGTCAGTGTATGTTGCTACTAATTTGCATAAAATGTACATAAAATTGAGCTTTGATCGACTTTGTTGCATCACCCACAGTCTATGTCACGCTGAAAATCAGACACTCGTTAAAAAATACGTCTGGTGTCTTTGAAAAATCCAGAAAAACAGCAAAACCCAGCCTAGACCAACATGTAATTCCTGTTGGTTAATGTTGTATATTTCAGCAAGGGCTCTTTCCCAACCCTGTCGTCCTTTTAAACAGATCCGATATACTGGAAATAGCCCTGCATGAACTGTAATTGCTCTTAAAACAAATGATTCTGCTTTTAAAGGGCATGGAGGTCTTTACAATTTGGTGGCAAATTATTCACAGTTGTTTAGTCTAAGATCAGTTCAAAACAAAACCTTTTGCCTTTAAATTGCCTCCTGCTAACATACTTAGGGGATTATTTACGTGATTGACTTAACATCAAGTCTGTATTTTATAAGTCTGCCAGCCTCGGTGAAAAGCAGCTCATATTTACCTTCTTCAACCCATTCAGTGAGCTGTAGGTGAGGTTTAGTTGTAGTTCTTTGAGTTCACTGGGCGTGTATGTGCTGCGGGGGAGCTGTGACATGTATTATATAACAAAGACTATTATTTTTGCTTTGTAATCCCAAATGCCAGTTGATGTGTTATTTTACCACATTGTCTGTGTTAGCTTTTAATTTAGAAGCATGTTACAAACTTGACAACCCTGGAAGACTGGATTAGGTGAGCCCTGTGTTTCCTCTACCATTTTAAAATAGTTTGGTTTCTTAGTAGATCAGTTCAGTTTGAAAATCAGTTCTTTCTTTCTGTTTTTGAACATATTATAATTGCTCAAACTTTGGTTAAAGTTTTTGTTAGTACCAAAAGTTATAACTAAGGCGATCAATCAATGAAAGATTTTGGGTTAGGGTAGGCTATATATGATTAAATGTGTTTTTATTGTGTTTTGATAATTAATCACACTAATGCATCAAGCTCTTCTCTCTTGTCTCTCGCCCTTGCTCTCTTTTTCTCCTCCCGTTTTTTTTACCCTGACCTCTCAGCCGTTTTGTACACTTCAGCATGCTGTCTCTGCAATATATTGAAAGATGACACTAATGGTATTCCCTTTGTCTCATGAGATGCTCTGTTTGTCGCCTGGAAATAAACACAAGATACTTTATCCAAAGCAAATAGTTTGCATAACCAAACCATTGTGATATTCTTTCCATACACAGACTCAGAATAATGTGCATTTTGCCCCCACCCAAATGTCATATTTTACCTTTGTAATATTAAACGGTAAGGCACGCCTCCATTCAGAACAGGCACAGGGTACAGAATGGACTTTTAGAGAGGCTGTATGCAGAAGGAAGTAAAGGAGGAAGAAACTATGTCACAATATTGGAAAAGATGGTTCATGTTTTGAGGGCCTATTTTTATATGATCATATTTTTAGGATTATTATATATCAGAATGTGTAAAACTGCATATGTAGGTGCTTCTCAGCTGCAGATTTCAGGGGTTGATTGTATGTAAACTTTTTTCACTCTTGATTATTTTTAACATGGCTTTATCTTTTTTTATGTAAAGATTTCATAGGTTTTTTTTTTAGAAATGTAAAAATATTTCAAATATAGATTTCAAAATTCTAAAAGTATGGTAATGTAATAAATTCAAGGTAGAACGAACTTTCTATTTTGCCGGGTTGTAATGAAGACCTTTGAGTTTGTGTGTGTTTTATTGAACTGTGTTTTATCATAATAATTATTATTATTACATGGCAGACTTCAGATTTCAATATTTGAGCTTTAATATTCACAAACCATGCTGGGTTGTTTCAACCCAAATTTTGGTAAAATATGGATGAGCCCAAATGTTGGCTTAAAAATGCAATTAAAAAATGTACAGTTGAAAGTGAAAGTTGAAGTTGGGTTAAAATTTGAAATTACGTCTTAACCCAACATTTGGGTTTGTCGATATTTTACCCAAATTTGGGTTCAAACAACCCAGCATTGTTTAGAGTGTAGTCTGTATCATGATCTGATTCATTGTACAGACCTACTTTTGATTTATTCATATGGCCAAATTCTGTGGCGATTCCATCCGTGTTTTCTGCATTGCCGAAATCAAATGGCCGTACAAGTTAACTTATTTGCAGTATTAAAGAAATTTAGTTTTGTGAGTATATATTGTGTTATAAAGTTATAAGCATTAGTGTAAGAAGGGTATATGCAGTTACTAGAGGGTCGCTCTCAATAGACTCTACAAAGCGCTCTTCATGGTCATTGAATATAGATACAGCAGCTGTTTTTTTCAGCTACACACCTTTATGGCTGAAATCCCTGAGCCAAAGTATGTCATTAAAAATGATTTGGTATAATGACCTCCCAGAAGGGCGTCAAATAATTGCGTTCCCAAACGCCAAGCTTACATCGCAAGATAACATGACAGTGTTTGTGAAATGCATTGTCGGGAAAAAAAGAGCCACGGTGACTTTTCTGCTTTTCGATCGAGCAACTTTGGAGACTCTGTTTTAATCTGTTTTGTTTTTTTTGTGGTTGTTTTTGTGAAAGAAACATAGCTAGTGAGACACTTACAATGGAAGTGAATATGGTCATTGTAAGTGTGTCAACTATAACCCAGAAGAGGGATCTGTGGAAATGATTTTTTGTGGTGATCAACATTATGCCTCAAGTGCTGTCGATTGAGAGCTTAGATGGCATTGAACCAGGAATATTCCTTTAAGGTCAACATGTCATGACATCAAGCTTGATTTGCTTTCT